AAAAAACCCATAAGGAAAGTGAACAAATCAAATCCTTGGGCAAGCTTTAGGGAATGATTGCCAAAGCCACATTTTAGAAATGAGCTACTGGAGGGATCTGCTGCCCTTTCTGTACAGGAAGCTTTAGGTTCCAGAACCCATCAATGCCTATATCAGAAACCACCGTGATTAGGAAGGTATTTCAATCAGGAAGCCACTTCTGTTACTACCAACTCCAAAACCAGTTATGAAAGCTACACTGGAAATTAGCAGTGGTACATCTGCTAAAGCTGCTACAGGAAAACCAAGCATACCTAAAGGTAAGCTGGCCAGAATAAATAGTGGAAGTGTACCATAGCCTCAATTCCTTTTCTCCATTGTTATGGCATAATTTAAATCACAGCCTGCACATTGGTGGCAAGTAGTTTCTGGGACAGGTAGTTTTAATGTTTCCAGACTGTAGGTCAGGGTGACAAGAGGGAGGACTGGGTAAAGTGGCAGCACACCATGTACTTTACAGTCCTTGTTTCCTTTTGAAGATCTTGACTAATTTTGACACCACTGACCCCTCCCTCCTTCATGGAATTCTATTCTCTTGATTCTGTTGTAACATTCTCTCCCGATTCCCTTCTGGATCAAGTACTTTTTCTTAGACTTCTTCCTGGGCTCAACTTTCTTTGCCTGTCCCTTAATGACAGTGTTCCTAAGATTATCTTTGGGTATTCTTCTCTCTTCTCATTGCATGCTTTTTTTTATTTTCTGTTGTCACTATAGACATTTCCTGGACATTCTTTTTCAAGGTTTCAAGTACCATCTATATGTTGAACATTTCCCAATTCTACATCTCTAGTTCAGATACCTTTATACTCAACTATCAGATATTTCCACCAAATGTCCCAACTCAAGATCAGCATGTTTAAAAAGTCCCTGCTTCTCTACTGCTAAATCTTTTCTTCCTTTATTCCCATTTGGGTGAATGTTGCCAAATTCAGGAGATCACTTATCTCAGATATTCAGGCATTATTCTAGAAACACCTTCCCTTTAATCTATAGTCAATCCTATTGATCCACCCCTATGTTACTCTGTTGGTGATGACATTTTAGAAATAAATAAAATATGCTAAAAGATACAATCTATGAAAGAAAGAATTGATAAGCTGTACATCACTAAAATCAAAAATTTCTGCTCTGCAAAAGACACTGTTAAAAGAATAAAAAGTGAAGTCATAGACTGGGAGAACTCTTAAAATTCAACAATAAGAAATGAATGGTTTAATTAAAGAATGGGACAAACATGTTCACAGAAATATCATCTACAATACCCAAATGTCAAATAACCATGCAGAAAAATGCTTATTCCCTGAGGACATATCATATGTCCTCAGGGAAATGCATATTAAAACAACAATGAGATACCACTGACTACCTATTAGAATAGTGAAAATGCAAAACCCTGACAATACAAAATGCTGTTGAGAAGGCAGAGCAACAGGAACTCTCATTCRTTGCTGTAGGAAATTCAAAATGGTACAACTCTTCAGAAGACAGGTTGGCAGTTTGTTCTAAAACTAAATGTAGTCTTACCATATGATCCAGCCATTGCACTCCTTGGTATTTAACCAATGGCGTTGAAACCTTATGTCCACACAAACGCTTGCACACAAATGTTCATAGCAGTGAAAACTTGGAAGCAGCCAAGATGTTTTTCAGTAGATGAATGGATAAATAAACAGTGGTAGAACCAGAAAATGGAATATTATTCAGTGTTAACAAGAAATGAGCTACTGAGCCATGAAAAGACGTGGAGAAAACTAAAACATATCACTATGCAAAATTGGTCGATCTGAAAAGGCTACATAATATATGATTCTCATTATTTGACATTCTGGAAGTGAAAACTGTAAAGACAATAAAAAGTTCAATAATTTCCAAGAGATAGGGAGAAAGAAAGATAAGCAGGCAGAGCCTTAAGCATTTCAGGGCATTAAAACTCTTCTATGTGACACTGTAATGTTGAATACATGTCATTATATATTTGTCTATACTCACAGAATGTACACCACCAAAAGGGAACCCTAACTCAACCATGGACTTTGAGTGATTATGATGTTTCAATGTGGCTTCATCAGTTGCAACAGTTGTACCCCTTTGGCTGGGGATGCTGATAATGGGGGAGGCTATGCAAATGTAGGAGCAAGGGTTTATGGGAAATCTCTCCAGGACCTTTTTCTCTATTTTGTTGTGAACCTAAAACTGCCCCCAAAAGTCTTCTTTTAACAATGACACTGCAGTAGTGATAGCCACAGCCATGGTAGTGGTGTCAGTGGTCCTATTGTTAATGACATCCTTTTCTTTACACTGTTTCTGCCTTACCAGAATCCTGGCATCCTCTGAAAACAAAGCTTATTTTTATGCCTCCATGTTGTTCCACTGTTATTCTCTCTACTTAGAATGGCCTCTCTTTCTACATCTTCATCCTTCTTCCCCGCAAAAAAAAAAAAAAAAAAAAAAAACACTTCTCATTCATATTCAAGTTTCAGATGAAGCGTCAACACCCATCTGAAGCTGTCTTCAACTCCCTCTAGTGCTGCCTCTTTACTCAGACTTCCACGCTAGGGGTGACCTCATTGTGCCATAATTGTTTGCAGGCCCATCTCCTGGAGAACAGGGCCTGGATTTACTCATTGCTTGGAATACAGTGCCTCTCATGGCATTAGAATATGGTAGGTGCTCAGTAATCACTAACTGATGACTGCATTCATGAAGTTGCAATATTAATAAGCACACAATATATACACAGTTGCTGCAGAAGAGAATAATTCTTGATGTACAAGCATGATGCCCATCTTTGGAAACCTGGCCCAAGTTCTGCTTCTCCCATGAAGTTTTTCCTAACACCTGCAGGCCCCATCTGTGCTACTGCTGATAGCATCCGGAGTAGTACTCGGTCAGACATCAAGCAGTCATCTTTCTTTATTTTCATTTATAATGCATGTTTTCCCAACAAGACAGAAAGATCCTCAGGACAAGGATGATGTTACATTTCACAGAATCTAGAATGCCAGGTAGGTAGCTCACTTGAACAGCAATAGGCATAGGTGCTGCCTCCTGCAGCTACCAGAATATTAACCTCCATCATCATGAGGCCAGGCCAGTTCTGGATGACTGTAAGTATTAACATGAAAATTTACAGTTACAAAAAAAAAATAGAATGTCTTATTCTGTACTTAGGATACATAACCATAGTGTCTTTCCCACATCTACAGTTAAAAATCTTCAACATAGTGCTAGTAGTCACATGAATTCTTCTTCCATAAGAAATTATTGAAAACCAAAACAAACCTTATATAGATGTGGCTGAGGATGGTATTCTGCCCTTCACTTCTTTTGCTCTATTAAGTTTCCCCCCATCTGTCACCATCCTTGTTTCTGGTGTACTGGAGAAAGGTCAGTGGCTTCAATCGGGGCTTTTATTCTAATGCAGAGAATTCTGCCTCTCTGTCTGCAGCTGCTTTGAAGTTTGCACAGTCTTCACCTTTGCGTAGATACCTCACTGAACTCTATCCCTCTCACATAACTCCAACCACTCCTGTTCCATGTATTACTGAAATATAAAGAGGTGTTACAGGACACATTCTCTAGGGCCTTCTGCAAAAATTAGAATACTCTCTGTTGGAGCTGGGGTTGTGGCTCAGCAGTATAGCGCTCACCTAGCAGGTGCAAGGCACTGGGATCAATCTTCAGCACCACATAAAAATAAATAAATAGAATAAAAGTATAAAAAATCTCTCATTAAAAAAATTWAAAAAAAACAATAGTCTTTCTTATTCTCAATGCCTGTATGAATTTGCTTCACAGCCTCTCTTCCCCCACATACACACCCCACACAATCTGGGACAGTGGTTTCCTATAGAGCTCGGACTTTGGGTAGGAAGAAAATAGCTTCCAGTTTGTTGAGTGCTGTCTAGAAAGTTCCACTACTGACCTCCACATAGTTGGTTACTTCCTGTGCTAACTGGCACTCTCTCTTCCTCTCCACCCACTTATAAAAACCTGGGTTTTCTCTTTGCTCCTCCCATGCCCAAGCAGGTGGATGGTCTGTAATGCTACATGTGTTGATGTGAACAGGTAAGAAATCAGTCACTCAACAAGCTCTTTTCAATACCTATATATTTATGGCAGGGTAAGATATGAGGTCTTTACATTCAAGGAACCAACATGCTATTGAGAACCTACTGGATGGTAGTGGCTGCCCTGCAGGATCCTAGAAGGTGACAGAAAAGGCTCCAAGAGAGGTGAATCCCAGGAAGTAAACAGGAAGGGACAAAGTCCCTTTCCATTCATATGGGTGGGAAACAGTTTATCACTTTTTGATTGTTCACAGGAAGGGAACCAAGTGAAGTTCAGATACTGTGCAGTAGAAAAATAGTTGTCCCTAGTATCTGTAAGTTTTGTGGAAAAGGTGCTTTTAAAAAAAATTAATTAAGAGGAGCTTCTGATGTTATGGGGTCCTGGACACAGAAAATGCATTAAGTAAAAATCAGAATATATGGGCTTCAGTTAGCAGTAATGTAATATGTCAATACTGATTCACTAATCATAAGAAATGTGTCATATCAATATAAGAAGGTAGTGATAGGGAGACTGGGTGCAGGATATATGAGAACTGTCTCTGCTGTCTGCTCAGTTTTTCTATAAATCTAAAACTATCCTAAAAACCAAAGTTTATTTTATAAAGAAAAAGAAGGTGGTTTACAGCCTACAGAGTATCCCTAGCATAGAGACAGGAGGGAGTCAGTTTGAAAATGACCCTTTTTGAAAGAAGTGACTTTGTTGGTAAAAGCCACATTTGTGGCTTGATTACCAGTTCCTATAGGGATGCTGAGTTTTTGCTTGCTTTCCTGTGGTTGATTTTTGGCAGGCGGCTGCAGCATTTGTGCACTGATTATAATTTTGAGATGCATTGTCAATACCCAGGATATATAATGGATCTTCATTTCTAATTACTTTTCTCTCCACAGGTGTCTGGAAAAGGTCCAGATGGGAATGCACACAACCTCCGCTTTGAGGGGCTGGAGAGACAGTATGCATCTTTACCCAGGTAGGTCACAGAAGGGTCTCCCATCACCAGCTCACCCACAAATGAAGCCTTTAGAGAAGTCTATATGAAATAGAAATCTGGCTTTGAAATGGAGAATATGTTATAATTTTTGCCTTACTGCTGTCTGCTGCAGCCCTATTGCCATCTTCTCAACTGTGCTAATAATTGAAACACTTGTGGGCTATTTTTTAAGGGGAGAAAATAGTATATCATTGCAATTGAACATGTCAGCAAGAATATTGGATACTGAATGGAAATCCTAAGCCATGGCTATAAAAATGGTATTGAACATCCTGCACCAAGCTTAGAGACAATAAAATAGTAAATCCTCTRTCCTAGAAGTTACCAGTAAGAAAGGGCAGGCCAACCTTAACCTTGGAGCTTCTTGTGGGTGTTAAAAAGCAGGAGAGAAATGTGAACCTGGGAAGGTATTTTTTGCTTGATTTAGTATCTGACCGTGTCCTCAAGCAATAAGCAAATGTCGCCAAAAGGCCCAGACACAATGAGGGAAAGAAACAATGACGTGGGAAAAGTTTGCTTGGCCATTCTGACCTAACCTGATCCACTTATGCTGTAACTAGACACCTCTGAAAATGAGATGCAATTCTCAGAGGTTTGTACTCTTATCTGAGAGATGAAGAGTAATGTTGGTGCACTATCAGAGCACAGGACAAAGAGGAAACCTTTCTAAGATGACTTAGTCTCCAGCTACCATGGGAGCGAGATGAGTTGAGAGTGTGAGAATTTGTGAGTTTGAATCAGAGACAAAGAAAAGTTAATGCCAGCCATGAAGCTGAAATGTTTCAGAGTATTACCTTAGAAATGGGTGAGGGGAGGACCCAAGCACAGCTTTGAGGCCATCAAAGCTGAGTTGCTGACCTGCTAACTTAGAGATGGGGTTACTGTTTGGGGTTACTTGTTGGCTGTAATTCTGCAGGTAAATTGATAAAAAATAACATCCTTACCGTTACAACACTCTAGGCCTAGGTATGTTGATTTTTCAAAAGTGACAAAATCTCAGATCTAGCAGAGACCAGTTTTGAACACTGATTAGACAGAATACCCAAATGCACTATTTTAAATGTTTCCACACAACTGTTTTTTATTTATCTCCCTGTGTTCTTCTTCTTTTTTTAATGTTGTCTCGTAGTCTTTTCTCATCCATGATTTCCTGTCCCTATTTTGTATTGGCCTAGTATTTTGTTTTCATTTAAAAAATGGAAGTAGTTTCCAAAATTTGTCTTAAATATGTAAGATTTCCGGCTTTCACTGCTGAAGTGTATGGAAATTGTGGTTACAGCAGATGGAAAGTGGTAGGTTCCTAGTGGGGAGGGGGGAAGTGGAGGAAACTGGAAATGCTTTAATGCCTTCCTGGCCAGCTCGTACTCTGAGTGCAGAAATATATATATATATATATATATATATATATATATATATATATATATATATATATATATATCCATACACACACCAAATCAAAAGCACAGAAAACACATTTAAAATTCTATAAATTTTATTCATTTATTCATTCCCCATGTATTTAGTGATTGTCTACTCTATTTTGGGCCCTGAAAACATAGAGACTGAGACACAATCCCATTTCTACCCTCAGGACTACACTGTTTAGTAAAGGAGTCAAGAAAATCAGCCTTTTGCCATAATGCATCAAATGCTTACAGCACTATTAATATAAAGGCCTCTGAATTTCCAACTCCTGTTTATTTTCACTAATTAGCTCTGAAATACTCAATCATGGCTGACTCCAAACAAGTCGGTCTGAAGAATAAACACTGTGGAAGGGGTTTCTGACAAAGAGAGTACATTAATGCCGACCGAGGCTCTGGAGCTATCACCACAAAGTATGAATTGACAAAATCCTGCCAGCCCTGAGAATATAACTGTGATTGAAAGGGAAGCTATCTTAGACTGAAAATAATTTTGGCGAGAAGTCCATTCACACACATACACAATGCTCGGGGTGATTAGTTGCACGTGCAAAGAGATCTTTGTAACTACCTGGCAACCAGAAGCAGCCAAGATTGAGAATAAACAGGGCCCAAACAAATGCATGAGAGACCCCTGGCACCAGTTTCTCCATGGGAGAGCTCAAACCCGAGTTTCCATTCTCACCATCTGAAGAGGAGATGAGAGGCAGAGCTCCCTCCCAGGCACTGAGCCCAATCCATGGGAACCATATTTCCCCCAATGAGATRCAAAATGCAGAGGTGAGGGGCACACTGCTGGCCTCTGAGAAGTGTGCCAGTTCAGCTCTTAATGCCTATGACAGTGACCCTGGTTTTCTTGTACCCCACCCCCCACCCCTGGAGATTTTACCATCCTCTTAATTGAATCACACCAGCTCCCTCTTCCCTCCCTTTGCCTGGACAGTGAGGCAAACACAGCTCTGTAGGCACGGGGGCCCTCTTTGTCAGAGGCAGGGAGCATTAAAATATTGATGGAGTTACATTTTTAATTAAAAGTAGGAATAAATTCTATCTCTAGGAAGTCGGTGGCCTTAATATGCTACTGACTGATATGGTTCCTGTGTTGTTTGTGGAGACCTTCACAGGAGTTTTTATGAGAAACTCAATATCGCTGATTTATACGCCAAATTTGGAGGCATCCGCAGAGAGAAAGTGCCCCGCCGTGCATGGAGTAGGTGAGGAGCCCCGGTCAAGGGGCTCCCCTCTAAGAGTTCATGGAACTCTGTCATCTTTAAAGCAGGCCCAAGCAGACTGCTGCCAAACTAAGTGACACCACACAAAATAAAGCCAGGGCGCTGGCCAGCACAGGAGGAAGGCAGTGCGTAGATCTTGGTATCAGAAAGCTACCTAAGGCCAAAGGCTAAGCGATGTTAAGTGTTATTGTTAAGCAATGTTAAATCTTCAGCCTCCAAAGAAAAATAACTKTATTTCTTTTCTCCTGAGGGTGCTGTTTTAGAAAGCAAGAGTGTGGTTTGTAATACAACCTCGTTAGCGAACCCCAGGCCTTTACCTGGGCCCCAGTTTTCTTTGGTCATAAACAGAATGAAATCAGCATCCCCCTACTCTTGCCTGACACAAATTATTACTCACCCTAGGTGAGTGGGGAAGTGGCTGTCTCCTGGGCTGCTGTAATGTGTGAACATCCATGCATGCATTTTTGCAAACGACTCCTTTTTTCACTCAGCCTGCCAGCCCCTTTCAATTCTCTCAGGCCCCATTCTGATTTTACAGGCCTCCTCACAGTCAGCCTGTTCAGTAGTGAACTCTCTATTCTCCCATCTCAAGTCTCCACCGTTCCCACCTGGCCCATCCCTGGCCCCACGGGAGCCCATTAGCCCCTTCTCTACAGATGGCTCAGTGCACCAGCACATGATGTTGCCCTTCCGGGTTTATAATCAAGTGTGGAGTCCTGAGGAGCGAGCAGGACACGGCTGCATCTCATCTGCAGTCCTGTGTGCGTGGGTGGTGGGAGGTGGCTGGGGAAATTCATAAAACCCCATTCATCGGTTACACTACAAAATTCACATGAGGCAGCGCCAGCTGGGCCGCTGCTGCCGGCCAGCATTCCTTTTCGTCGTGTAGTCAACTCCCCTGACTATCCTGCAGTGGCCCTTCCGACCCCTTTCTACTCCTGTTAAGTCTTATGAACATGACYAAGCTCCCAAGCCCCATCTCTAGAGATGACCTCACTTCCCTTCCTTTATGACCTTGAAGCACTCAACTTGAGTCCCTCAACTTCTGCTCCCCACCCCTCGGAATGCTGAGTCTCCACTGACACACAGTTCCCCAGAGCTTGGAGCCAGGCCAGGAGTGAAGCTCCAGCTCTGTCACTCATCACCTGTGTGGCCTTGGCCAGGGATCTAATGGCTCCAAGGCTCTGCTTTCTAATATGCAAATGAGGGTGACAATAAGGTCTCCATCTAGCGCTGGTATGCGTATTAAATACAATATGGAAATATAAGCAAGTCCTCCTTAAAGAGCCTGACATATTTGAAGGATTGTTTTTGTTTTTGTTTGCTAGCTCTCTCTGATTTGCTCTATAGGGAAGCCATTTTCTGAAATGAGGCAAACCCATATTGTCACTGGCTTCCTGGGGACCTGCTACCACCAACTCTCCCTCTCCAGGCTGCATCTTTAAGTCCCTGCAGTTGCTTTCCTCCCCCTGCCTATGCATAGGTTCAGCTGCACAGCTTGCTGAGAGTCCCTTCCGCCCTGTGGGGAAGGGAAGAGCCAACACCTGCATGGTGACCACTGGAGTACTCACTGAAGGATTAGCCGACTCTGAGGGAAAACCAGGCATGCAGATGATCGAGAGCAAGGAAATACAGCAAACTAATGTGATCTGAGCTGTGCTGATGGACCCATGAGGAGATAGCAGTTCTTATAACTAGGGAATCCATTGTATGGGATGCTGAGCCGAGTCTAGGCTAGAAGCCAACAAGACTTGGGTACAAGGCTAGGCCCATACCAGGGTGGAAGTCTTAGTGTGATGCCCTAGCTCCCAGAGCAGACAGGGTGTGGATGCAGCACCCTCTTCACTGGTGGGAGGAGCCCCAGAGAGTCGCCCAGCTATTGTTGGCTCTGGACTGGACAGCGCTGAGCATGTAGCTCCAGGGCTCACCGCTAAGCAAGGTTGGGGTGGCGGAACTTCCCCATGTGTTTGAATCTTGTTCCTCAGAGAAGAACCCTCCTGCCTCCTCCAGTGCCCACATTTCCTAAGTAAAGTTGGCCTATGCCTGTGGGTTCCAGTTCCACAGGACCAATCACACTGCAGCCGCCTATCCCGGGCTTCCGACCATACCCCTGTGACTTCCACTCGATTCTACCACCAGCTGTTTCCCTTATGAAGATTCTCCCTCAGCAGTCTCCTGTATTCCCACAGATTCAGTTCTCTCACCATGATGACGATGATTCTGAACGTACCTGGCTAACCTCCGGATCTCACTCTTGCTTGATGTAGCATTCTGTCTACCTCCAAGACTCACAGAGTCCTTTTGCCAAAACCCAAGCCATCTT